ACTAAAATGATCAAATTAAATATCCTTTAATTATTTTAAAGTCGCTACATAGAAATGTTAAATGAATCCATGTTAAAATGTATAAGTTAACAATTAATGTTAGCTTACCAGAAATTATTTTTATAATAATATTTATATAATAAAATAAAATAATATTTATATACTAAATAATAAATACTACATGTATTATAATTTTTTAGTATTTATCATAGCTACAACTTTACCAATGAGTATAAATATATCTTGATTGAGTAATATAGATAGTATAACTATAATTAAATAATAATAATAAAAAATTATTTAAAAAAAAATAATAATAATAATAATAATAAAAAATTATTTAAAAAAATAAATAATAATAATAATATTAAAAATAATAATAACATATTAAAAATAATAAATAATAAAAATAATAATAATAAAAATAATAATAATAAAAATAATAATAATAAAAATAATAATAATAATAATAAAAATAAGTAAAAAATAAATAATAGTAATAATAATAATTAAAAAAAATAAAATAAACAAAAATAAATAATAATAATACAAAAAATAAAATAAACAAAAATAAATAATAATTTAAGTAATAAAGAGGATATTAAAAATATAACCAATTCCACATTCCACAATTCCACATTTTAGCTCTGCAAATTAATTTGGTAAATGTTTTCATGTCTGCTGAACTTTACCCAACAAACAAATATACTCTTATTCACTAACTGAACGCGCATAAAAATCTAAAATTCAAACTAAATTCGCAAATTTGATATTGTTTCTTTAATAGTCGTTTTATTTAGTTCTTTTGGTTTTTTATGGCACATTTATTCGTCTACAGTAGATATGCAATATGTGTGTTTATTGCTACACACACTCATGCAGTCTCTCTCTCTCTCTTATTCGCTTTCTCTCTCTGAATCCCTTGGAAAGTGCAAAGCTGAATTCAAGCACATTTTGGACATTGGCTTATCGTAAACGCATCTGCACACACGCAATCGGCAATAAATGGATTTTGATGACTTACAGCTGCAGTTGGAAATTCCATAAAAAATTTCCATTAATTCTTTGAATCTATTTTTACATTATTAGTGCAAGGCATAAACAGAATTCAGCATCCATCATCGGCCGACGGCAGCATCCAATTGCAATCAGTTGAGCATTCAGGCATTATCTGACTCTCAACCAGTTACGAATAGCTTGACTATTTCTAGGAATTGCTGTTGCAGTTGCTAATTGCACTGACAGCAGCAGCAGCAGCAGCAGCAAAGCCAAACCAAAATCCATTGATTTTCCCCTTAGCTGTCAGCTTTTCCATTTTTGTCAACGCCTGCATCTGCAAACAACCTTATTTGGCCAACTAAAAAATATATAGAAATAAGCAATAACGTTGCAGACGGGCGTTACCCACTGCAGCATACTCATTCACGGCCAATATAGATTGCTTAACAAACCAATATACTCATTTCACTTGCCTGAACAAGTATAATACATGGAAAAACTTTAAATATTTTTTCCTCTAAAGCCAAATCCAATTTGACTACACGATGACAATGTCTATTTGTTGTTGCTTGTCTGTCAGCAATTGAAATCGAAAACGAATAAAAAAAAAAAATCAATTTGGTATTTTATTTGTTTTTTTTTTTTTTTAGCTAAATGCAAATGTCAACGTATCAATTTCTGTGTCGCCTTTTTTGTGTGTCCAACCTGTTCATATTTATGAGCATTTATTTTTGCTTATTATAATATTATATACGCCGACAAGGCGGCGATCTCGTTTATGTATTAACTACAATAAGTCGATCGAAATTCCCCCAAGCAACAGAAAAAAAGAAGCCAAAAACCAAATACACACAGAGAATATAAATTATAAAAGAAATGTGAAATGGGCATATTAAAGTGAGCAATAGAATGTAATGAATGAGAAAGAAATAAAGTTTAAAATAAATTTGAATTGTTAGTAATTAATTAAGTTTTAAGTTTACTTAATATATAAACATTAAATATTTTCAAGTATAAATTTCAGTTTTTGTTTCAGTTTTTATTTTTTATTTCTCTCTCTGCAGGGTATTTTCGTGTCTATCAATTTCGTTTATCGCCCTAAAGTCTGTTCATAATTAGCTCATTTATAAATTGCTCGAAAATGGGGCGTATCGATTTGCTAGAGTTGCTTGCCTGATTGAGTTGATTAGCTGATAAATGAACTCGGAGCATTTTTAGGAGATTTGTGTGAGAAGCAAAAATTAAAAATATAAACGAATTTACATACATATAAGCAACAGAGAATCAACAAAAAAAAAAAAAAAGAAACTGTAGACTAAGATTAAAAAGATTATAAATTCAATAAATAAATAATAAATTATAATACAAAAAATTGTATATTCAATTAATAAAATAAATATTATTGTGTTATTAATACAATTAAAAATTAAATGAAATTAATATACAATAATTTGAATTCATAACAAAAATATTTATTTATGATATACGCTGAACTTTTGCTCAAAATTTATAAGAATTAAATTTAAAGTTTCTTTTTTTTCATTTATGATGATATAATAATATTTATTTAAAATATGTGTTTAGCTAAAAATATTTAAATATTGGCTAGCAAAGCTTTTTAGCATGCAAATTTAAATTAATTGTTTTTTCTTCTCAATTTCTCATTTATTAATTACTGAACCCCCAGTTGTGCTTAGACTTAATTTTATTCACCCATTTTGCTATTCGAGTAACTAAACAAATATTTATTTTCCCACTTTATACATTGTGCTTTTTATGATCAATACATTTTCCGTTTATTTATTTATTTATTTATTGTTTCTGCTCGTTTTATGATTTATTGAAACATTTGTCTTGTTATTAATTAGCTGAAATGCAAGTATCTGACGCATTGAAATATCATTTAAACGATCTGCCCACTTGCTTTGTCTCTCTCTCTCTCTCTCTCGCTCTGACTTGCACTCTCTCTCCTTCTCTCTCTATCTCTGCTGTGCTGTTGCTAATCTCATTAGATGTTATTATACTCAAATGGGTTTCCAGCATTTATTTTTGCTCCATGCACGCGCTCTCTCCCTCGCTCTCTCTCTCTGTTGATATAGGTTCTAGTGAGATGTTTGACTGAATATATATGTGTATGTGTGTACGTGTGTGTGTATGTCTGTATATTTGCTTTATTTTGTTTTTATTAACCGAATTTCGCCTTAGTGTTTATGTAGTTGCTCTGGGGCTAAAGCGCTTTAGCCGCGGTGTAGGCATTTTCATTCATTCAACCAAATGTTGTTGTGTTGTTGTTGTTGTTTTTGGTATTGTGTACATTGTATGTGTTATGTTATTATCATTAGCTTGTCGTGCTGGTGTTGCTGTTTGCTCATTCGCACTCTCTGTTTCCTCTCATCAACAGCAGCCGCCTCTGCTGCTGCCTCTGCCTCTGCCTCTGCCTCAGCCTCTGCCTGTGGCTCTGAGCATCATCTGGCCAACAAGTTCATTAACTTTTGTTTGCTGCTGCCGCAGCGGGCGAAATAATTTGTCAAATATTTTGTCGGACATGCGATTTAAAAATTATGCTTTTGATTTGATTTTTCTTTCTTTCTTTTTCGATTTGGCAAAGATTTTGATTCATTTGATTTCATTTTTCTTTTTCCATTATACTATAGACAAACTTATCTGGGTTTTATTGACCTATATGGCAGTGGATCTGTTATTTCCATTTGACGCTCGTCCGGTTATTTAGCCAGATTTGCCACATTTACTATATTTGCTACATTTTGCTGGTTAACTCTTGTCTTGTTTTTGATTAGCACTCGATATGTCTGTGCGTCTGTCCAGCTGTCCATCTGTCGCATCTGTCGTCGCCGCTTCTGATATAGACGGACGGCTGACTTACTTGACTACCTGTTGTGCCGGTTTACTTATTTTTGGGGCTACCAGTTCCGTTTCAGCGTCGTTTAGCGCCTGACGTCGAAATCAGAAAGAAAAAAATGTATCTCAAAAAACGAAACAAAAATGCGATGAAAATACATAAAGTACCGGTTCAATATCATCATCGTTGCCTAGAGACTCAATTCGAAACTATTCGTTTCCTTTTGCTTGTCTTTTGGACACGGCAATTTTCTCATTTCCTGCACAGTGTGTCTGCAGTAAACAAGTGAAGATTTTCCATGCCATTAAAAACGAGTTTTCTCTAAATGCAAACAAATTGCTGGAAAATGGGAAGAAAATTTGGTATAAATTGTTTGAGCGTTGAGCGCTGAGCAACAAATACAAACACAGTGGAATATATATTTATGGTTTAAGTGGAATATATATTTAAATTCTTTTAAAAAATAAGTAATAACAATCATATTTTTAAATATATATATTTGAATCAATTATTAAAAATATATCAAATTATAGAATATTATATATATTTTTTTGTATTTATTTATAAATTATTTTTATTTTATATACATTTTTTATTTATAAATATTGTATATATTTTTGTCCATTATATTATTTATTAAAGTATATATAGATATATATTTTTCATAACCTAATTGCCTCTTGGTGCATGTTTTAATATACCTAAAAAATATTTAAAAATTCTTTTAAATATTTTATATATTTTTTTACAATAAAACAAATTTTTTTTGCATTTAAATCATTTTTTTTATTCATTTTGTTAATGCCAAACTAAAAAGATGTATAACAACAATAAATTTATCTCTGCAAATATTTTTGCATATTTGTACAAAATATATATATTTTTTAATAATATTTTTTCGTTGCATTTGGTTTGAATATGTATTTATTCATTGAAGTACAACTTTTGCAAACAAAAACACGCAAACGTTTTATGCAAAATAGCTGAAATGCTTCCGCTTTGGTTTATTTATTTTGGGGCTTGGCTTTTAGAGGCAAACATTAAAAAAATAAATAAAATAAAATTGAAAAAATCACAAATATGAATGAACAACTGAATTTTAAACTAATTTTTGCCTTTTGTTTTTTGTTCTCTTCCACAGGTATGTTTTCTATGCATTGATCTTTGTTTCCTGAAGAAGCTAACAGCAATTAGTGATGTGTGTAAGTTTTAACACATTTGAATATGAATGTGCCTACCCCATTAATACAACAGCTAGCGGAGCTTTATAGCCCGGGTGGGCGAATTGATTTTCAGGTAGCCATATATTAATTAACCTGGGCGGGCTGTCGAACAGATGTTTTTGTTTCGTGTTAGTTTAAAGATTCATCAATTTACTCAACTCCAAGCGTAGCCAAATGACGGACTGACTGACTGACTGATTGACTGATTGACGGACGTGCAATAGGTTAATAAGCTCTGACTGACCTGGCGGCGGGAATTCTTTAGCAAATCTTTGAGCTCTGATCGAATAAATCACAACTAAAAGAGAAATCGACCCCAATGCTGTTGCTAATGATGTTGCTTAGTTCGTTCTTTTTGGCGCCATAATTGGTCAAACTTAATTGAAAATTAAGAAAATGTTTGATACTAAATATAAAGAGACTATTTATAGTACATGAACTTATGCACAGATCTCTGTTGAGCATCTAAATGTGCCTTAAGAGGAATTTAGTTTAGTTTTGCAGACGTTTACTTTGCGTTTTTGTATATATTATGTATATATACTTATAAGAATAAGAAGATAAATATATCTCAAGATTTTGGCTAGAGACTGCGCTGAAAGTTTTGACTGAAAAGAATTACTTCCTATTTCTTTGCAATTGAAATATTGTTGACAAATAAATAATTTTTAAAAATATTTTTAAAATGTTTTCAAATGTTTAAATATCCAATTTCATATATTGTTCTGATTGTCTTGACTAGACTTAATTTCCTATACATATATGTATATCATATATATCAATGTATTTATACTTAAATAATAGTTAAAAGTTTTAGTTTTTTTTTTTTATAAGTGCACAAAGTAGTGTTAAAAACTTTATATATTAAAAAGAAAAATCAGCTTCACTTTCTATTTATTTTATCATTTATTTTCTCCACTAACTGTCATATCAATATTTCTGTTCATTTATCTCGCTTAACTTTGCTGCTGACTTGCATCTATATATCTCTCACAATCTCTCGCATTGCCCTTTTTTATGACCTCTAGATTTCTGTCTCTTGAAATCTTAGCTCTTTGTAGTTTTTTCTACACCAGATTTCCATCAAGTTTCTCTGGTAAATTAACTCCGTTCAATTAAATTCAACAACTATGCAGCCAAAAAAATAGAGAAGAAAATTATAACTAGTTTCTCTGTTGCTGCTAACAATTTCCGTTAAACGCTGCACTTAAGAAAATGTTGCCGCCAAGGAAGTTGATTATTTTCCGCCAGTTATCTTTGTTCTCTTTTTCGCGCTGTCTCGCTGTCTCTCTCGCACAATCAATGCCCTGAGCTGCGGTTTGTTCTTCATTCCTTTTTAAAGCATATACATTTTATTTCTAGCAAATAAATATCATAAGACCGTTGACAGCCTTCGAACAGCGAAAATTCATCTCCGGCTTTGGTTGGCTTTCTTTTCAGCCAGAGCCAGAGCCAAAGCCGAAGCAGCAAGAAAAACTAGTTTTTTCTTTCCTTCTTTCTTTCGTTGGCTAACGTTTTCGGTATTTTCTTTTTGCTATTTTTCCAATAGTTAGTAAAACTCTCAGTACACACTACATACTTGGGCTAAAAACTTTTCTGCGGTTGCACTGCACCACCAGCAACAGCAGCAACACATCAACCAGCATCAGTTGCTGTGGTAGCAAACTCTCGTATCATGTCAGTCAGCAGTCGCTGGTCCATTCGTTTTGGATCTGTCGTGTCTAAAAGTTTTCCATCATAATCTACTTAACTTTTGCTGCAATCAATTGCAGTCTTGTGATGTTGCTATTGTTGTTGTTGTTGTTGTATGTGTCGCCTCATTGCATTTGAATTGCAGAGCCTCTACAAACTCTGCTCCAGCTCAGCGCTGCTCACCCATACACATACACATACACATATACATGTATATTTATGCAATCTCCTTTGTATAGATACAATAGACCAAGAGCCTCGAGCGATGTCTGCCTATATTTCCCAGTATTGCGTTAATAGAAAAGTTGTTGGAAGTTTTTGCCGATGCTGCTGCGGCGGATGCTGCGTATGAAAACGGACGTGTTCTTATCTCTCGGAAGCAAAGAGCTAGAGGAAGAAGGGCGGTGGCTGTAACATTTTACTGAATGGCCTGCCAACCTGTCCCACTGTCAATCAGCAACAGCAGCCACAGCTGCCGACTTTGGCTACAAGTTTTGCTCTAACAGGCACACGAATACAGAGAACGTTATAGATACAATATCTTAAAGATGCATTGAAGCGTAATTGCACTTACCTATCAAAGCAATAGCAAGCTCTCACTCTCTCTCTCCCTCACACTCTCTCCCTCTCTCTCTGTCGTTCGTTCGCCCTATCTGAGTTGCTTTATCTGTGATTTTTGCTCACAACAACCTCATTTCGTATTGCATCGAAAATGCATTTTACTAACAATTGAAGCTTTTGTGTGCACAGTGTGCGCACAGTGGTACAAATAGAATGTTTAGGAATGAATGATTGACTGAATCAGATTGAAGAATAGTTGTTTAATTTATATTTTTATTTTTGAATTCAATATTGTTTTACAAAATTTTCAATGAATAATTAAAAAATATTTTAAATAATAATTAATTTTTTAAATAATAATTAATTGTATATGGTTATTTATAATAATGTAACAAATTTGTATATTAATATAATATATTTTATTAAAAATTTTAATATTAAATTAAAGTTGAGTAGGATATAGAAATGTGTATTTTATATACTGAAAACTTTAACTAAAAATATAACAAAAATATATTTTATGTATTATATCTACTAAACAAACCAATAAAAAAGCTATAATTTTTTTTTTTTTTTTAATTTTAATTCCTAAATATTTATAATTTAATTATAATTGTTAATTCAATGTTAATTAATTTTTGGCAAAATAGTTTTGCAAATTATTTTTGCGATGTCAAATATTATTATTAATTAATATCAAACATTATTGTACGCATTAGTTAATTTATTAACATTTACTTGGCATCTCTTAGACATAAGTATTTACCTTTGTTTAAGAACATCTTTCACTGCTGTTAGCTTCTGCTATGTATTGTATAAAAATTTTTGCTTAGAAGCAAACATTTAGCTATTTTATTGTTGCAAATGCCAATGCATTGTGCATTGTGCAACGTTTTATAAGCTAGTTAATTTTTGAAGTGCATTTACGAAATTGTGTTTCTGTTTGACTGGGGACTGGAAACTGGGTCTGTGACTGGGGCTGGGCTTGGGTCAAGCTGTGTATGTGTGTGTGTGTGTGTGACGAGGTGTGGGACGAACAGGCCCGCTTTGTACTTAGCTGCGGGCTCACCTAGATGTAACTACAATTCTCTCTAAGAGTGTGTGTGTGTGTGTACATCTCGTTTTTTCTTTCGAATAGGCGCATGCCTTCTCGCTCTAACACTCCATAAACTACAATGTGCTGTACTCTCAGCTTGTGCACATTTCAAGATTTAGTTTTCGTTTCAAGACTCGCAATGAATATTTGTTTAGCTGCAGCAGTTAATTGTTTTGAATAGTCATCGGAAGCTGCTGAGCGAGTGCGAATACAGGCGTCTCGTTTGTGCACATAATTGAAATTGATAGTTTGACTTTTACACTCACACTCACTCACTCACACTCACACTCACTCACACACGCCCATTTGCAGTACAATGTGCATAAGCTAAGGGCCTGTTTACGTCTCGTTGTTATTGATGCTGTTTGTTGCCGCTGTAATTGGATACTTAAAATGGGCCAAGCAAAGCCAAGCCAAGGTCTTTATGCAGTCGTGTAATAAAATACTATATGCGCACGTGTATGTGTGTGTGTGTGCTTGTGTGCTTTGAACTCTGATATTTTCGGTTATGTAGCAAAGCTTAAAGTGCAAGCGCACAGAGCCAATGCTGCGCATACGTAATATCCGTTATACATATATATGTATGTATGTGTGTTACTCATACACCAATTGCTACAAAACTGCGCAACAAGCAGAGCGAGAGAGGCGGCGAGCAAAGCGAACGAGCGAGCGAGATAGCTGCTCGAAATTATGCGCATCTCAACTGTAAAGTATCTAACAGCACGTTGAAAGTTCATTGTGCGTTGTTGTTGTCGACGCGTTTCTATCGTTAACTCAATCAAATGCGTTTAACTTTTCTTTTCTTTACTTGCAATTTATTTCGTTTTATTTATTTATGTGTTTTACACATTTTTGTTGTTGCTGCTGCTTCTTCTTCGTCATGTTCGCGCTGCAGCGTCGCAGTCGTCAGCTGCGTTGGCAAATTGCGTGTGCTTTTCGTTTCGTTGGCTGCCTTTCATGCTGTTGCTGTTGTTGTTGTTGTTGTTTCATTTTGCTTATATCAAGCGTTCAATGCCCGCTGCGTGTCTCTCTCTCTTTCTCTCTCCCTGAATTGTTTTTTTGCTGCTGCATTTTGGTTTTATTTTTAACGCATACAATTTGTTTGTAATCTCTTTTGCTGCGATTCGCTTGGCATTTGTTTATGCTAAATGATTTGTCCGTTATACGCGAATGCTGACTGTATGCTACGGTGGTGTGGGATGGGGTGAAATGGCGTTGGGCCAGCGACAATTGCACTGTGAACTCTGTGCGGCGAACGTTCGCTCGCTCACTCGCGCTCTCGCTCGCTCTCTGTCTCGCTCTCTCTGCTGTTACTCAAGGTCAATAAAATGACCTTTTGAGTGATTTATGTTTTGTTGTGATTCGCATACGCTTCCCTTTTCGCCGTTTTTCCCCTTGCTTATTTTTTTGTTACTGTTAAATAAATTGTTGTTATTTATCTAAGCACGTGTTTGGTGAATTTCTCTCCACATGATATAGTACACACACTTATTCATCGCAGATAAGAGTTAGCTTGTTCTAGATCTTGTATCGATATGATTATATGTTGTTAGGCTTATCGAAAGTGAATGTGTTAACACAAAGATAAGGTAAATAAGCAATGACTTGTACATATGTATGTATATGGAATATATATAGCTATTCATTTCCTGATTTGAACTCATGCTAATCAAATAAATACTTTCTATAAATTCTTATCAATGACTAATCAATTTAGCAATCGCATAAATCACTTACATCTGTTATTATGCTATGATCGATCCGCAGACTGCCAACAATTGTACTCAAATTGAACATAACTACTTACTAGCCTAGCCAACTAGCTCACCTATCAACAGTAACTAAAACCAATTGTTGTTAATCTTGTTGGAGGGAATTGCTTATCAATTTATGGAGCTCGTCGTCGTCATTTGCTGTTAGGCCGCGTCGCTCAGTGCATGCCGTGCACTTAATCAGTTTATAAAGAGCTAGCTATATATGTACATATGTCTGTATGTATGTGTGTATATATTTGCTGTTTGTGTATATAGCATGTGTGTATAGGGCTCTGGCTAAATGGCCAGTGCTTATATAGCGTAAATACTTATATATGCGCTCATACTTACACAGACGGACTGTAAACCACACTCGTCTCGTCTCAGGGCTGCGTTTAAGCAGCTTTAATTTCATTTCAACTGGCCCACTACAACAATATTGACAGCAACAACAGCAACAACAACAACAACTAGAAAAAGCTGTTTTTGCGCTATTTTTATTTACTTGTGCCATGCGTTTTGCCTTTGCCTTTTGCTCAATGCTTTTGTTTTTATTTGTGTTTCATTTCATTTTATTTTCGCCGCTGTCTTTGCGGTCTTTTTGCATTTTTACTTTGGCCTGCAAAACTATTTTTGTTTACTATTTACTTTTGTGCCGCCGGCAGCAGCAGCAGCAGCGGCAGCGGCAGCGGCTGACGGCGAGGGCATCCACAGTGTCGCTGCTTAGTGCGTTGATTTCCCGACCTAGCCGGCGACAATATTTGTTGTGCACTCAACACACACACACACACACACATACACATACACAGCAGTAACAACAACAACGCATTGAAGTCTGTGAGAGAAGGAGAAGGAGCTGAAGCCACGGCAGGCACAAGAGCACAAGAGACAAAGGCCAATGGAAAGGCGTGGTTAGCCACTCGCTCTCTACTGCTCCGGCTCCCTCTCCCTCTCCCTCGCACTGTCCCTCTTCTCTCCACTCTCTGCCTGCCTGCTTCCACAAAAGTCACTGTGCCCAGCGCCAAGGCACAGCCATAGAGCCTAGGCATTTTGTGCGGTTCGACTGCACAGTGGTGCGGGTTGTAGCAAATAAATTAAAGAATTGAATATATAGAAATTAATGCGAAATTATAAATAGATGGAAATAGTTTTAATTATGTGTGGAATGTAGACGCGTTGGAATATAAAAACTAGCTGAGAATTGTACTAAAGAAATATAAACATATTTGCTCTAATTGATTATGAGTGGAACTTTGGAACTTTTTCATAAAAGTATATATGTTGCCCCATTAAAAGTTTATATTCGTATGCTCAATCATAATTCCAGTAATAGACCAATTAATTAATTATAGTTTTATATTAAAATAATTCTTATATTATATATATTTCTTATTAATATATTAATATATAAAATATAAAATATATATATTTTTATTACTTTTTAAAATTATTAAAAAAATATATATATAATAATAAATATATTAAATTATTATTATTTATTTTGCAATGAGCAATTTTCTAATAATTAACCTACAATTCAAGTTCTTTCAATTCCACTTGTTTATTATAACCTCCACTTGATCAAAATATACTTTCTATAGCAAATTACAATTATTCATGTCTTAGATTCATTAACATATTTTTTTTGGTATGCTAATTTCTTTATGGTCATCATTATCATTGCCATTATCTGTTTTTATAACCTAACCTTATTTTATTGCATAGCCGTTTCTTGAGCTGAATCCGAATAATCTCGAGTCCTGCTCCTCAAATTGTTGCCAGGCCATAAACAACATTTTTCCTTTGCCATCAACGACGCCTTTTCTCTTTCGAGTGCTTAACATATTTGATTTTATGTTCATTTCTTTTAGTTTTTCCATAGCGGCGTTTCCCACGCTGTCTTTTTGTTTATCTGTATGTGTGTGTGTGTTCGTTACACCAATGACACCACTGTGCCATGTTTCGCTAGCTTTTGCTGCGCCGCTCTTTGCTCCACTCGCTGCTCCACACGCTCTGCGTGCACTGCACTGGCACATAAGTTGCTTCTCGTTGTTGTTGTTGTTGTTGTTGCTGTTATTGCTGTTGTAGTTGTTTTTGTTGTCGTTGCATGCCACTCGCAATGGCGCAAAAGTTCCTAGACCACTCCAAAAAAAAAAAGCAAAAGAAAAGCATAAAAAAAGAACACAAAATTTATATGCGCCGTCGCGCATGCAGTCGCCGCTGGCGTCGACAGCGCAGCCAGCGTCGAATGTTGACACGTACGGCGCAGCGTCGCGCCTTGTATGGCTTTCAATGGCAGCAGATTATTAATATTGCAAATGTATGTGCAGCTAAAGAGAGAGAAAGAGAGAGAGGGAGACCAATAGACAGAGAGCGCGAGAGAGGGAGAGAGGGAGCCAGATCTATGCGACGACGAGCCTATAAATATGTTTTGGCATTAGGCCTAGGCCCGGGCTTTAGTTTGTCTGCAGCAAATGTATTTTAACGCTGTCGCCAAGTGCGTTCTGTTTTCGGTTATAACGTGGCTTATGGTATAGATAGAAGATATTGCATGTATACAATTATATTATATTTATGTATGTATTTACAATATTTTGCCAACTTGCAAGAATTTGGAATACTTGAGTCGAAGAAAAATATGTAAATATATATATATATGTATGTTTATATATTTAATTCTTAAAAATACATTTATATATAAAGCATACCCATCAGTCTCTAAAAATAAATTTAAATAAATATTTTAAAAATATATTTAAATAACTATTTTAAAAATATTTTTAAATAAATATTTTAAAAATATATTTAAATAAATATTTTAAAAATATTATTAAATAGATATTACAAAAATCAAATTAAATAAATATTTTAAAAATATAAAACAAAAATAAAAAATATTTATGAATTAATAAATATTTTTAAAATATAATTCTAAAATTAGGAATTTGAAAACAAGTTTAATAAATAAACTAAATAGAAATTATATGCAATTTAAAATGTGAAACATATAAAGTATTGAAAATAAATATAAATAATAATATATATTTTTATATAAATATTAATACATATCAATTATTGAAAATAAATATAAATAACAATATAATATATTTTTATATAAATATATAATCAATATAAATTTTAATAAAAAAAACCAAATGAAATTCTTGCAAAAAATATGAATTTATATTTCAATACTTATTACAATTTTTTCATGCCGACTGATCAATTGAAAAAACTCTCCCGATTATTGTTTTTTATCAGATATTTTTACATTTTGGTAAAAAATGGTTTCGCAGAGGCTTTCACAGTTCACATAATTTTGGTTTGCGTTTTTTCTCTTTCGGTTTTTCTCGAATTTTTTTGTTTGGTGTGTGAGTATGTGTGTGGAAAATCTGTGCTGCCGTTGACTACTTCAAATAATTGCGAAAAACCAGGCGCAGCGGCAGCGGCTGGCTAGCAACCTGTCTGGCAGCCGTAGGGCAACATCATTATGAAACTTGATTATCATTGGTCTGTGTGCCCAAACAACGCACATTGCACTCGGGCTGGAGTGTAACTTCATCATCAGCATGCACAACATCATTATCGGCATGGTCGACGGCGGCGGCGGCTGCTGCTGCTGCTGCTGCTGCTCCTCGACATGCGCTTTGTCTGTTCACTTCCACTGTTTGTGGATGCGACCATATCGTGCCTATATGTATATACATATATACATACTTTACTTGCGCCTGTCTGTGTCTGTGCATATATAAATATATATATTTATACATGTATATGTATGTATATCTGTATGCAGTCTGCGCTGACTGCGCTTCAGAGAGCTGTGTATAGCAATTGAATATTTGCAAGAGATTTCCGTTCATTAAACCCGACAGCGAAAAGCAGAAAAGCACCAGAGCAACGACTGTAGGCGGCCTTTGAGTGTCAGCCTCCCGCTCACCGTCTCTCTCTTTCTTTCACTGTCTCTCGCTCTGTCTCTATCTGCCCTGGTCTACCAGTTGCGGAACTCTACGGCCCTATGTTGTGACCGACCCGGCTAGCTTCTGGCTGCACAGCTCATGATTTGTACTACGTAGAGCTTCGCATTTAATTTTAATTTTTTTTTACTCTCTCTTTCTCTTTCTTTTTGTCTTCCTCTCTCTGGTTTTTTTATGCGGCTCTGCGATTTTTTTTCTTCTGTTTTGTTTGGAAGCTTCGCTATAATTAAATTCCTCTTTAAAGCTGCGCGGCATCGCCCTATCGTATTATTATTATTTTCATTTGCTGCTGTTGTTGTTGCTATTGCTATTGCTTTGTTTCTTACAAACGTTGGTGCAAAATTTAATTAATGTGGAGGCAGCGCAGAGTCTTCACGACCCACGCGATGCAAAACTATATAGTTTTGAAAGTTTTGGCTTATGAGCGGGCGGGCGAGCGAGCATAAAGTTTGTCTAGGCGAAGAGCACTTAGAAAAGTTGATGTGGGTCGTAGAAGTCAATTTGAAAGTGTTTTGCAGGATCCATAAACTTGAGGCGAGGTGAACTGAAAATAAAAGAAGAACCACAAAATTAGTATGAATGATTTTGATGTTCAATTAAAAGTTGATAATTACTTAATTGATATTTACGCCTATTAAGTTTCTCGTCGAAATGAAACCAAAATTTATAAAACGAAAAATTTATAAACGAGAAATTAAAGCATTGAAATAATATATAGAATCCAATAAATGAACAAAAAAGAGTAAATAATAAAAAATTTAAACTAAAAAATAAATTAAATAACAATAAATAAATAAAATATTAAATAAATAAAGTAATAAATAAATAAAATATTAAATAAATAAAGTAATAAATAAATAAAATATTAAATAAATAAAATAATTAATAAATAAATAAAATAATAAATAAATAAAGAAAATAGCAAATAAATAAAATAATAAATAAGTAAAATAATAATTAAATAAATAAAATGATAATAAATAAATAGAATAATTAAATTAATAAAATAATAATAAATAAAAAAATAAATAAATAAATTAAATAATGATACAAAATAACACTATAATAAATAAATAAAATAAAAATAAATAAATTTGATAGTAATAAATAAATATATACGATAAAATATATAAATATAACGAAATAAACCAAAAATCAACTTAATTAAAAAAAAGAAAATCTTTTATCTTTATATGTGTATTGACTTTTAAAAAATTAAATAAAGTGGTTTGGCTAGGCGAAAGCAAATATATATATATATATATATATATATATATGTATAGAAAGAAATGCCTTTTTTTCAACTTTAATTAATTTTTTAAAACATAAACTGAGCTTGTTAAAAACACAAGAAGTGTTGAGAATAATATTAATTATGTATACAGAGTACTTCTTAACTTATTTAAACTCTTATTGAAGTTCTCTTTTGTCTTAAATGTTTGTGTGTCCTTACGGTAAAAAAAAACTGATTTGAAAGAAATTAAGTATTAAGAAAAAGAGTTGGGACTCATATAAAATATGCATACAGCAAAATAAAACAAAACAAAAATACTTTAAGTTCTTTACGCTTGTTACGTATTTATTTTAGAATTGAAACTTTGGCTTTTGAAGTTTTCTTGTTTAAGGAAAAAACCTCTTTCTTTTGTCTCAAATGTTTGTGGTTCTTCAGTGTATTATTTTTGGCAGAGTTGAAAATTTTGTGTAGCATTTCATTAGAACTTCAGTTGAAGCCGCAACTTAAGGTCCACCTACAGACTTTTGTATAAGAGCTAAGCTGGGGCATGTGCCGCCTGAGTGTGTGTGTGTGGCTGTGTGTATATCTGTGTGTGTGTTTTTGGGGAGCGGCTAATGCAACTACTATTCTACGTGCGCTGTTGTGGTGGAAATACCTGTCTCATTCTCTTTCTTCCCCTCTCTCGCTTCTCTCTCTCTCTCTCTCTCTCTCGCACACTCTTTGTGAGCTTTTCCTCTGTAGAGACCTGTGGCAAACTCTTGCTGTTTCTAATTGCCGTGTTATTGTGTGTACATGTACATGCTCTAAGGGGCATGTGCTTCATGTTGCATGTAAGTAACTTGGCTTGCCTTTTAGTTTGCTTTGCTTGCAACAGCAGCCGTAGCAGCAGCAGCGGCAGCTCTTGTTCTGCATCTGGTTCTGGTTGTGGCTCTGGCTCTGGCGCAGAGTTTATCATAATACCTTTTAACGCAACTGCGGCAAACGAACGAACGAAGTAACCCACCAACTAACCAAACGACCAGCCAGCCAACTTCTAAGCCAAGTTGAAGAAATGACTGACTGTCGGGCTGGCTAGCTGCTAGGCAGCCTCTCTATTTGCTTGCCTGGGCGAGTGAAAGACATGCGGTCCATGCGGCGGATGTATCTTCGTTTTTGGCTTGGTCTCGTTTTATTTTTTGTTTTTGTATTTGGTTGTTGGCAAGGTAAAATTGCGCTGCTGGAAAAACATGTTTCTTTTCCGTCGTGTCTGCCGCGACGCCACGCCACGCCATTCCATTCCACTCGCAATCTGGCAGTGAAAAACTGAAAAACTGCATACAGCTGTGGATAATGATAATAACCATGGCGATGATGATAATGATGATGACAAACAAGCACGCCAACAACTGCTAGCTCCTGCTTCGGCTTCTACTCTCTCTCTTTCTCTCCCTCTCTCTTTCTCTGTTCTCTGCCTGTTTGGTCGTTATTCGTAGAACATAGCGAACTTGTTTGGCCATTTTCTTTGGCCTCATCTCGTCTGGCGACGGCCTGTTTGGCCATTTTTCCTTCTCTCGCTGTTGTCTTGGCCTTTTCTTTTCTCTTTCCTTTTGCAACAGCAACAGCAGCATGCATTGATGCATTTTTCCTGCTAACAACCAGATGAGACAGCTCAGGCGAGGCGTGGGGCTCGTTTGCCTGTTGGTGGCCGGTTTTCGGGCTGGTTTTAAAGCATAGCTGTTTGTACTAAATACCTATGCTCTAAATGCAACCCATTGTTGTTGTTGGACTCCTCTGCTCTCTAGCTAAAAGGTAGCCACTTAGCTATAAGCATTGCATTAAGCAATCATTATCCCAAATACAGATGTCGAGAGTTTAGTTGAGCAATACATTTTGGGCTGCATGTCGAAAAATAATTGAGATTGTCTATGCATTGCAATTTCAAGTCAAATTTTGCCCAAATTAGTTTCACATTGCGGCTCAAACGAATTGCAACAACTCTAAGCAAAACGCATGGCGAATTATTCTGGAATTTTGCAAATATTTTAATGAAATTTTAGCATAGATATCATGTTATAAACCAAATAATAAATCATAGACATAAATAGAATGGAAATTCTAGAAATGTTTCAAGCCATGTCCCCATAACTATGGAAAGAAGAGTATATAAAATAGAGACACTAAAGAAATATATCTAAATGGACTAAAATAAAATACTATAAAAGCATGCGGCACAGTTACATGATTCCTCTACGTGCAGCGCCGCTCTCGGCGATTTTCATTAATGTTAATGAGATTGTGAACATTTCGCATTTGCAGAGAGCATTGCTTAAGTGTTTCCTGACATTGTGACCGTCGGACTATTATTCTGGATTATGCGTAAAGTCCATTAAAGAGGTCAACGTAACGGCTTTTGGCATGTTCCACTTCCACATGGAGCAGAGCTCTGGCTACACGTGTGTGCGTGTGCGTGCGTTGTCTCTCCCATTTCATTTCACTTTGTTCTTTGCCATTTTTCAAGCGAATCATCAATCACACATCCAAGCTGAAAATGTTAACGAGACGTATCACAGCCCAAGTCCGTAGGCAAACAAACCCAAAACGAAAACTGAAATCAGACAGAGAGGAATTTATCTATCTATATATACATATATACATTTATATATATAGAATGCTTTCTACTCTGCTCGTTGCGAATAAAAGCATTTGAAGCATTTCCTTAAGCACTCGCTCAAGTTTCATTAGGCAACAGCAAACTGTTAACTGGCCTGGTCCAAAAGGAAAAAAGGCTAAAATAGAAAAGAAAAGTAAAAAAAAAATGAGCAGGAAAAGAAAACTCTATTCCGGCAACGGCTGCAAGCCGAACAAAAGGTGGCCCAAAAGGCTTGTCCAGGCAGCGCCCGTGCGGCTTTTCATTATGACGAGTCGCTGCCCCAGGAGGCACGTGGGCGGCAGGCGGCGGGTGGGAGGCGTGCGCCTAAATGTACGCTTTATTAAAATCTAATTTCTTATTTATGCAGCCAATTTTCAGCGCTGAGCAATTTTAATTAAATTTTTAAAAATTTATTTCCAGCCGCAAATGTTGAAAGAATCACAAATAGCACAAAACGCAACGAATTCAATTTGATGCTTAAGGTTATTTTTCCATTAATAATAGTAAATACATACATATATATATACATATATATATAGAGAGAGAGCTAGCTTTTGATATATTCATATTGTTGTTGCCAAATTTTAATTGGAATTTCTTCTTCTTATTCATTAGCTTGGCCTTTTCCTAATTGTATGCCTTTTTCTTATGCCAGCAGCAGCAGCAGCAGTAAACAAATCCAATAAGCATTATGACTTGGCTTGCTGTTTGTTTAGCCAGACTTTTGTCCCCTACGGCATCTTAGCCAAAAAATGAAGTCAGTCCCTGTGTGTGTGTGTATATAGGCCAAAAATAGCGCTCGCTGCTTGCCCTTAGGGTTTATGGCCCCAACAACTGTCGTGCTAAATATGCCAGTTCTCGGCGTATACCCAGCGCGCCCTCGAGTCTCGTTTGCCTGCCGCCTCGATAGGCAAAAATTTTGCCGCTTTATTGAATTAAAAATTGAAACTCTGCCCAGGCCCAGGCCCAGGTTCAAGCACTGGCTCTGGCAACGGCAGCGACAGCAGCAGCAGCAGCAGCAGCAGCAGCAGACGGAGCTCTAGGCGACTCTATAGCTGCCTTTTCGGAGCGCACATTAAATTAATAAATTAAAATGGAAAGCACTTTGTTTTAGCACTCAGAGCTACGCTGCCTCTCCCTCTCTCTTTCTCTCTCTCTCTCTCTCTCTCTCTGTCTATGTGCTATGCATTCAGTAATTCGCTAAAATTATTAATTTATGTCATTTAAGAATGTCATTTACTTTGCTTATGAACATTTTTAAATTAGCCGCTCGCACACTCGATAGAAAATGAAGTAAAGGCCACGGCAAAGGAAAAGCGATTTCCAGCGACATCTCTCATAATTGAAGCGTCGCGCAGTCACAGTCGAGAAACTCTTAAATCCAGTTGACGGCAGCTTAGGTTTTGCGTCATTTGCAATTTGTACAATGGGCAAACTTTGGCCACGGAATGGTCGATTTATTGATTGAATAAATATAGTATTTATATGCGTAATGAAGTTGGCTTGAACTTTGGTAATAATATTTAATATATTTGTATTTTATCTAAGTATAATTTGATGTATACATATATTTGTAAAAATGTTTGAGTTGATTTAAATACAAAATATGCACGAATATTACTTACAGTTAGAGGAAAAAGTTTAGAAAAATTGAATAAAATTGTTTAATGAGTCAGTTTGTTTGTTAACTGAAAATACTGAAACTGTACTAAAAATAGTTAAAATAATTTATAATAAATATAAAACACATAAATATATAATATACAAGATGCACAATTTTATTCAAATTCAAAATATTGAAAAATATATATTTTATTATATAATAATCCGTTAAATGGACCTTTCTAAATTCCTAAATAATTAATAATAATTTAATAATAATTAATCAGTTAACAAAGGGCTTTGAATAAATATAATTAAAAAATGAATAAAAATAATGAAAAGAAAAATTATAAAAATAATAAATATAAATATGTATATATAAATAATAAAAATAAATATGTATATATAATAAATATAAATATATATAAATAATTAATTTAAAAATATATATAAATATAAATATTAATAATATATATAAATATAAATATTAATAATAAATGAGTAATGATAATATAATATCAAAAATAACGAATACAATTTATTTCTTTAACTTTAAATAAATATATTTAATTAATGAAAATAATATAAATATATATAAATAATAAATATAAATAAATAATAAACATAAATATAAATATAAATATAAATATATATATTAATAATAAATGAGTAATAATAATATAATATCCAAAATAATTAATATAAAATAATGTATATATATATTCATATTAAAAACACAAATTATTATTAAACAAGTTATTCAATTAGACATGTACAAAGTGATTACAAACCTATATTTATTCCTAGTAACTTCAACTCACGCCCACTGTGCAGGCAGCCAAGTCCTGCGGGCAACGTTTTTCGCTTTCTTCGCTGGCTGCTGCTGCCGCCTTTGCTTCCTAATAGATTTTGTATTTTGATTGATTGCCTCGCTTATTCAATTGTTGTGCCCACCCAGCGGCCCCAGCATTTGCTCACACAGAGAGCAAGAAAGAGAGAGAGAAAGAGAGATAGCGAGAGGGAGAGAATGAGAGTCGCGTCTGCGCTGGGATATGAACCGTGTGATTGTTTTACTTAGATGAGCGACCCACGCTCAGCTGTTCCGACTGGATTTAACTGCATTATTAGTTAAATCTGTAGCATAAATTTCAATATCGATGCGGCTCATGGTTCGTTTGGCGCTTGGCTGGCTGGCTGGCTGGCTGTTGGCCCCAGGCTGTTTCCGAGGCGACAACCTAAATGAATTTTAATGCCATTTAAAGCGACTTTCATATGCTGCCTGTCACCTAATTCTCCTTCTGTTGTTGTTGTTGTTGTTGTTGTTGTTGCTGCTGCTGTTGGTGAAGCCTTAGCAATGTGTGCACACTGTGTGCAGTGGTCGAATACGTTTGATGCGCACTGTTGCATAAAAGCCGATCCATGTGCCCTACTATGAAAAGGCAAAGCTCTAACACTCTCTCTCTCTCTCTCTCTCTCTCTCTCTCTCTCTCTCTCTCTCTCTCTCT